CACATGGTTTTCTGCTGCAAATAAACATCTTAAGTGGAAAGCCGCTATGGCCGAGGAACTTAATGCCCTTATCTCGAATCATACTTGGGATTTAGTTCCGTTTGATGCCACTAAGAATATTGTTGGGTCTAAATGGATTTTTAAGACTAAGTATTTGGCTGATGGGTCTGTTGATCGCTACAAAGCTAGATTAGTTGCTCAGAGGTTTAATCAGCAGGCAAGTATTGATTTTACTGAGACTTTTAGCCCTGTTGTCAAACCCACTACTGTTCGCCTTGTTCTTACTTTAGCTGTGTCATTTGGCTGGTCCATCCGCCAACTTGATGTCAAAAATGCATTTCTTCATGGTCATCTTACGGAGGAGGTTTATATGCGTCAACCACCTGGTTTTATTCACCCTCAGTTTCCTCACCATTTGTGTCAGCTTCGTAAAGCTATTTATGGTCTCAAACAAGCACCTCGTGCTTGGTTTCATCGCTTTAGTAGTTTTCTACTTTCTCATGGTTTTGTATGCAGCCGGTCGGATAATTCCCTATTTATTTTCAGACGCAACTCATCCATTATTTATCTCTTGCTATATGTTGATGATATTATTGTTACAGGCAATTCCCCAAAATTAGTTACTCATTTCTTATCTCTTCTGGTCAAATGCTTTGCCATGAAGGATTTGCATTTTTTCCTTGGAATACATGCGCCCAGGACTGCGTCTGGTTTGTTTCTCTCTTAGCACAAGTATATATCTGATCTTCTTCTTCGTTTTCACTTTCATACATTAAAACGTGTTCGCTCTCCTCTACCTAGTCGCACTAAACTTTCTCTTACTGATGGGGAGCTTCTTGCTGATGTCACGGAGTATAGAAGTATGGTAGGTGCACTACAATATTTAACTTTGACTAGGCCAGATATTACTTTCGCTGTACACTTGGTTTCTCAATCTATGCATGCCCCTCGTACTTCACATTTGTTGGCTGTTAAGCGTATTTTCAGGTATCTCCAGGGCACCTCTACGCATGGGCTTCTTCTACAGGCTTCTCGGGAACGTCCTACAATTATTGCCAACTCAGATGCTGATTGGGCTGGTTTCCCGGACACAGGTCGTTCTACTTCTGGTTATGCAATTTTTCTGGGTCCGAATTTGATCTCCTAGCGTTCCAAGAAGCAACCGACTGTTTTCAGATCTTCCACTGAGGCCGAATACAGGGCCGTGGCACTCACTGTTCAAGACACTCTTCATGTTCGCTCCGTCCTGTTTGAGCTTGGCTTTCCCGTTCGCAATCCCACCACGCTGTATTGTGATAACATTTCTTCATCATATCTCTCAGTTAATCCTATTCATCATGCCAGAAGTAAACATATTAATATTGACTATCACTTTGTTCGTGACCGGGTGGCTCATGGTGATTTACGTGTGCGATATGTTCCTACTAAGGCTCAGCTGGCAGATATTTTTACTAAGTGCTCATCTCCGCAACAATTTACTCTTCTTCGTGACAATCTGCGCATTGTCCCCCCTGCACAGCTTGAGGGGGGGGGTATAATAGAGTAGTTTTAATATTATTTATTATTGTGGACTCCTATTGTAATTCTGACTCTTATTATCTATAAATATATCTGCCAGGGCTACCCGTATGGTTAAGCCTGTTAATTATTCTCACACTGAAGGCATGCATGAGCTGAAGGTTCCTGACTTCCATGCGCCGAAGGCTCTTGACTTCCGCCATTTTCTCCGAGTAGATTCGTATATGTAAAATTAGTTGTCTTGTGAGTTTTTGGGGCCTTCGGCCATGGGGCCGAAGGCACCCGTATGTGCACCGCAGGTTTCTTGATATTTGAGCCGCCGTTCTTTGGGCCTCCTACGCTTCTTGGGCCTGTTGGGCCTGTGTTAGAGTAGTTGGAGTCTGTGGACCGAGGGTCCGTGATCCATATACTCCATCAGGATACATATGATTCATGTATAATACAGAGTACATTTTATTTTTAAAATACATGAATTTTTCTGGATTCATGAAATTCATAAACTTGATTGTATAAGTGAAGGCGAAGGGGTCAAATAATCTCTTCTATTTTTCCACTAATCACTTAATCTAAAATAGTACTACTATCATCTAAGTGTGTTTACTTTAAAAAATCGGTCACTCCGACTTTTGACATGTAATAACAAGTTTTTAAATTATTATTTTTAAGAACTTGTTAATATGAGAATAAATTAAGTTAAAATGTGTGAACAATTTAAAAATGTCAAAGTCTATATATATTATGCATTTATTAGAAATCAGTAGAATTTAATTTGATATTTGTTACACTTTCACATTATATATTTCCATTTTTCTGATTTTTTTAATTTTAACTTCTTAAAAAAATTCTCTATTTTTTTGAATTTATGCTATTTTTTTGTATTATTATTACATTATTTTCAAATTTATATAATTTTTTGTATGATTTATAAGTTGTTTGAATATTAGGTTAAAATTGTCTATTTGGCTGTGTTCTTAAAGTAAAGTACTCAATACTTTTTTGTGAAAATACGTATGTTGCTTTAATTGGATTGAATTTTTTTATCTGGTCTCGTCTTGTGTGCTTAAGTTTGATCTGACCTGGCTTGGTTTAAAGGGGTATGGTTTTGAAGATGTTTGATGTGGCAAGTTTAATTTTGATTTGGTCTATTTAAGTCTTATCTAATCTGATCTAATTTAGATGTCTACTCTGTTTAAATTAGATATAGGGTCTTTGCAAACAATTTTAAAAAGTGATTTTCATCTTTTGGCTTTAAAAGGGTGAAATAGTGTTTTCAAGTGACAACTTATGCTTAAATTAAGCACTTAAAAGTTAAAAGCTGGAAACTGTTTTTTACTTTTTCTATTACACAAAAAGCACATATTTTACCAAACATTACCACTTGTACTTTTTAAAATCATGTTTTCTCGGAGATTGTAAATTTGTAAGTCATAGTAACTCAGATAACGCATGTTTGAGTGTCGGCCGACTCTAAAGACTAAACCCTAGGAGGCGACCCAACTTCACTCCAATCAGCTGTCGTAGAGTGATGATTAACATCTTTAACATCTTTTTTGAGAGAATAAAGCAAGTGGTTCTACTATGCTTCCGATGCTATTTGATTTCTACCTAGGTGAATTATGGTTTTGGTCCGACTTTTTATTTAGCCGAGATTTATGTCCGCTTCAAGTGAGCATGAAATATGTTCTTGTCCTAACAATGTCTAGAGGTTGTGTATTCCTCGCCGGTGTAACCAATCGGGTGGTGAATTGTCGTTGTGCATGAGTGGCAAGGTTGGTTGAACCTAGATTTTCTGAGGCCTCAATTATTCGCCCCCCTCTTGAACCACAACCTAACTAAAAAAAGAGCGCACAATTGGATCTCTCTTTTGGTGGCTTGTCAACCTGATGATCCAGTGAATTTATGTTCAATTGAGTTTTCTTTGTTGGTTGTTGGTCAAACCAATTCTCCATTGCTGATGGCTAGTGAAGTCGGATCGTTTAGTTTTATTTTTTAGAGCCTGTTTGGTAATCCCCTTTTTCGGTTTATCACGCTTATCAACCAACTTTTTCACCAAATACGTAACTTTTGATTTCGCGTGCTGAATTGTGTAATAAGCAGAAAAAGTAAGGTTGAAGTTACTTTTCTGGCTGTATTGGCTGAAATTACCGTAGAGAATCATTTTAGCTATTTTTTCATATAATGTTTTCTTTATTTTATTAATAAAATATATTTTAAATATAATTTTTTCATAACTCAGCAGAATCAGCCAATACAGCCATTTCAGCTAGAACTTCATAAATTTCAGCAGAATCAGCCAATACAGCTGATTTAGGTATTACCAAACGGGCTCTTAATCTCTTTGGAGTAGCAAGAAAAGAGATACTACATTATTGCTGGGTTAGCGACCGGAAGGATTCATTGAATCTTTTCCGTTCTATGTCTCAATCCATTGTAGCCTTAGTCTATTCATTCTCTTGTATCTTTGCTATCATTTAATAATAAATTAGTTATTTGATTTAAAAAAACAATTTTTCTCAAACACAATCAACTTTTACTATTAAACCCATTATCAAAAATCACTTTAAAAAGTCATTTTTAAAGCATAAGCAATCGTAAACACTCCCACAGTCAAATAAGTTTAAGTAAAAGGAAGGAAAAATCGCACCTCTGGTCACTCAATTAGTCACAATATTGAAATGTCAGACACATGTTTTTGAGATTGTAAATATCATTCCCGAATTGACAAATATGTTGTTAGTGTCATCTCCGCTCCTTATAATCATCCTCAAATTTGGACTACCAATAAATTCACCGGGATGACATTTTCAACACACTTGTTAATTCAAGAGTGATATTTACAATTTAATAAGGCTTAAATACGTTTTTAGTCCCTGCAAACATGACATATTTTGTTTTAGATTCCTGCAAAATACTTGTTTTTTGTTTTTCATCCCTTCAATATGCATTTTTTTCCTTTTGGTCCAGCTCTAATTTCGAAATCACTCTACTTACAAAAAAGTTTATTGTTGATTACATAAATCTACCAGAAATGTTTAAATTTGTCTTTTTATAATTTTTTGAGGCTAAAAAGAAAGTTAAAATAATGTAAAATTAAGTATTCACATTTTAAAAATATATATTAAAAACCTTCTAAAAAATAATATTAAATACTTTTTGAATAATATGATAAATAATTAGAAGAAATCTATTAATCGAGGTGATTTTGAGGTCGAGTTCGGGTCATTATCATCGTTGGACTAAAAAGAAAATCAATGTAAATTGCAGGGACGAAAAACAAAAAAGTAACTTTGCAGGAATCTAAAACAAAATGTACTATATTTACAAGGACTAAAAACACATTTAAACCATTTCATAAACACAAATATGAGTTATATGACATTTCTGACTAATCAGAGGACAAAAATACAATTTTTCACATGAAAAGAATTAGGGAAATAGTAATACTATTTCAGGGTTTTCCTATAGTTATAGGCGAATAATAACTAGTACTTCGTATATTATTCGATTCGAACTTCCAAAGCGGAACGCTTCCGCCCAGTGCCCCAGTAGCAACACAGGCTGCTTCGAATCTTCCCCATCTACACTGGTAGACTCACAGACTCACAAAGACGAGGGCGAGCGAAGGAGCGGGACGGCTGCACCGTTGCGACCCACCCAATTGCAACCGTTGTACGCTGCTACAGCCGGCGGTGCCCTGCCTTGCTGACCCTGCTTCCTTCCGCCGCACTGCTCAGCCAGGTAAAACGCCGCAAGCTTTCTAAAAATTGTTGTTGTTGTTCTTCTTCTTCTTGCAGACTTGTAGACTTTCCGACTTCCGTATTTATGTTCAAAACCCCATCTTCTCTATGCTAAAAACTGTTTGCAGAATCGGTAAAGTGCTAATTTATCTAAAGTGCTAAAGTTATAATTTATCTGTTTCCAGAATTTTACCGGCTTGGCTAAAGCAATAAACTTTATCTAAAATCATGTTTTTTAAACAAAGAAATTGCAAAAAGAGAGTTTGACAAATTTCAGACCAAAAGGGTGGGCAGTCTTTTGACAGAAGGAACAACTGAAGTTGAAGTTGTTCTCTAATACTTCCTCCGTCCATCCCAAATTGATTTGCAATTTGCAGTTTTAAGGTTGAACTATGATAAATTAAAAACTTCCCTTTAGATGATTAAATCAGGTTTTCTAATTAAAATTTACATATTCAGAAATAACATCCTTTACAAAGTGGCAAAATCCAAATTAAAATATAATAAAAATTGATATCCTAAATACGTAAATAAAACTAGACTGTGTTGACCAAGAAAATAGACTTCAATCATTTTGGGACGAAGTGTGTGTGTATATATATATTATAATGACTGGTGCTTGAGTAATTCGAGTTATTTTATATCACCTTCATCCCCCTCAAGGTTGGACAATTCTTAAAGTAAGAATAAATTAATGAAGTAAATATCACCTCCAATTGAGTAATGCAATTGGAGTCATTGAGAACACTGACGTTATGTGAGTTAGTAAAGTGTGAATAAAGCAAGAATGAATTAAAACCACACAAATATTAGTAAATGAGAAAATGAGATAAAGATAGCGGTACAGACGAATCAGAGTACATGGTTTTTGGGTTTTTATGTCTGCTTTTTTTACATACACATAGCGGTAAAGATGGATAAGAGACAAAATTGGCCGGATTTTTTTGGGTTTTTATGTCTGTGCTTTTTACATAGTAGAAGTATCCATTACATAAAAAATTGTTTACTTTAATTTTAATATTATCTTTTTAACAGTAGTTTTGTCATATTCTTATTGCAAAGGCAAAATAAAATTTTATGTAGGGGTGCTGGGTTATTGCTAGTGTCAAAAGCGAGCATGAGCAATTTTCACCCCTTCATTCTTTGGGGTGGGGATAAATTTTAAAAAGTTTGAATTTTATTTTGTACTCACTAAATAATTGCACAACTCCCACTCCCCAAGTTCCAAGTTCCAACTGTACATTTTATTGGAAACAACACCGGGCTATCAGCATTGAGCATGGTTGCTTCTTTACTAGAGTGTTTTTCTCTTTGTTTCTGTTTCCTTGTAACTGAGGAAGGTTCATTCCCCTGAAGTTACTGGTTCTTGATAAGGTATACCTTAATTCGTTTTGATTGCTCAGATTAGATAGAGAGTATGGAGGCAACAGATTGGAACATCACAGTAAAAGACTTTTTGATTGTAAGTTTTTTTTTTATAAATTTATCAAAGCCAATCATGCATTGTATAGTAATGGTTTAATGTTTATTTTGGCGCATCAATCAATTGCAGGGTTCAAATCGACAGAAGTTAGCTTTACCCAGGCATTCCATTAGGCGAACACACAACTTGCTTTGGGGTGTAATTCCAAGGCATTACCCTATCAAGCTCTGCAAGGTTAAGGCACAGGCAAGAAGACATCTTTCAGCTGTAGTTTCTGGGAATGTAGACTCATTACTAGGCAAGGAGGTTGTGCAGTCTGCAGGAAATGTTGTACATTTTTATCGGGTGCCGTTGCTACAAGACAGTACAACTTCAGAGCTTCTCAAGTCGGTCCAAACAAAAATCTCACACCAAATCATTGGCTTAAAAACAGAGCAATGTTTCAATATAGGTTTGAATTCTGATCTTTCAAATGAGAAACAGTCCGTTCTGAAGTGGGTTTTAGGAGAAACATATGAGCCTGAGCATTTAGGGACTGATAGTTTTCTACATAGTGATACGACAGAGAGTGCAGTTGTAGTGGAAGTTGGCCCGAGGTTGTCTTTCACTACAGCTTGGTCTGCAAATGCGGTTTCCATCTGCCAAGCTTGTGGCTTGACGGAGATAAGTAGAATGGAACGTTCTAGAAGATACATGTTATGTCTTGAGCCAGGAAGCGGTCCCTTACTTGATAGTCAAATAAATGAGTTTGCAGCCATGGTATTTGATAGAATGACTGAGTGTGTTTACCCTAAGAAGCTAACTTCGTTCGAGACAAATGCAGTTCCAGAGGAGGTCCGTTTCGTACCTGTCATGGAGAGGGGCAGGGCAGCATTGGAAGAAATAAATGAAAAAATGGGTTTGGCTTTTGACGAACAAGATTTGCAGTACTACACTAAGCTCTTTAGAGATGATATAAAGCGGGACCCAACCAATGTCGAGTTGTTTGATATCGCCCAGTCAAACAGTGAACACAGCAGGCATTGGTTCTTCACTGGGAAACTTGTGATAGACGGTCAGCCCATAAACAGAACCCTTATGCAGATTGTGAAAAGCACTCTAGTGGCGAATCCTAACAATTCAGTTATTGGATTCAAAGACAATTCCAGTGCTATCAAGGGCTTTTTGGTCAATCATTTGAGACCTACCCAACCTGGGTTTTCAAGCCCACTGCAATCTAGTGATCATGATCTTGATATCTTATTCACTGCGGAAACCCACAATTTCCCATGTGCCGTGGCTCCATATCCAGGAGCTGAGACAGGTGCCGGGGGCCGTATAAGGGACACACATGCCACTGGAAGGGGTTCTTTTGTCATCGCGTCCACAGCCGGATATTGTGTTGGGAACCTGAATATTGAAGGATCATATGCTTCGTGGGAAGATCCTTCCTTCCAATACCCTTCAAACTTGGCTTCCCCTTTGCAAATCCTCATTGATTCAAGCAATGGGGCATCTGATTACGGAAACAAATTTGGTGAACCGTTGATTCAGGGGTACACGAGGACATTTGGAATGAGACTCCCTAGTGGAGAAAGGAGGGAATGGTTGAAACCTATCATGTTCAGTGGAGGTATAGGTCAAATCGAGCACATCCATATAACCAAAGGAGAGCCCGAGATCGGAATGCTAGTTGTTAAGATAGGGGGGCCTGCGTATCGGATAGGAATGGGAGGTGGGGCCGCTTCGAGCATGGTAAGTGGCCAAAACAGTGCTGAGCTGGACTTCAACGCTGTACAGCGTGGCGATGCTGAGATGGCGCAGAAACTATACCGTGTTGTTCGTGCCTGTATAGAGATGGGACCAGATAACCCGATAATCAGCATTCATGATCAGGGTGCCGGCGGGAACTGTAATGTTGTTAAAGAAATCATACACCCTCAGGGTGCCCAAATTGATATAAGAGCGGTCGTGGTTGGGGACCACACCATGTCTGTCCTTGAGATTTGGGGGGCAGAGTATCAAGAGCAAGATGCAATTTTGGTTAAACCCGAAAGTGGCGGATTTCTGAAAGAAATCTGTAAGAGGGAAAGGGTACCCATGGCAGTTATTGGGACAATAAATGGAAAAGGGCGCATCACTTTAGTGGACGGTTTGGCTGCTGATGAAAAAACACCGCCTGTAGTGGATCTTGAGCTTGAGAAGGTTCTCGGGGACATGCCACAGAAAACTTTCAAACTTCACCGTGTGGACAATGTTCTAGAACCTCTTGATATAGCTCCTGGGACTACAGTTATGGAAGCCTTGAAGAGAATATTGAGACTACCTTCCATCGGTTCAAAAAGGTTTTTGACCACTAAAGTTGACCGCTGCGTTACGGGCCTAGTGGCACAACAGCAAACTGTGGGTCCCCTGCAAATAACACTTTCCGATGTTGCCGTCATTGCCCAAACATATACTGATTTTACCGGAGGCGCTTGTGCCATTGGGGAACAACCAATTAAGGGTCTTTTGAATCCCAGAGCAATGGCGCGGCTAGCTGTAGGGGAAGCACTAACAAACCTCGTGTGGGCAAAGATTACTTCTCTTTCAGATGTGAAAGCAAGCGGAAATTGGATGTATGCTGCCAAGATGGACGGGGAAGGTGCCGCCATGTATGATGCTGCCAATGCTCTTTCAGAAGCCATGATTGAACTTGGTATAGCCATTGATGGTGGGAAGGACAGTCTTTCAATGGCTGCCCATTCGTCCGGGGAAGTAGTCAAGGCTCCAGGAAACTTGGTGATCAGTGCCTATGTGACATGTCCAGACATAACAAAAACAGTCACCCCGGACTTGAAGCTCGGGGATGACGGTGTAATTCTCCACATTGACCTGTCAAAGGAGGGAAATAGGCGTCTTGGTGGTTCTGCCCTTGCACAGGTGTTCGGTCAGGTCGGGGACGAGTGTCCCGATCTGGAAGACGTCTCTTACTTCAAAACGGTCTTCAACGAGGTTCAGAATCTCATTTCTCATGATCTCATCTCTGCTGGCCATGACATCAGCGACGGAGGACTTCTGGTCAGCATGCTTGAAATGGCTTTTGCCGGGAACTGTGGTGTTTCTTTGAATTTGACTACACCTGGAGGGGATAGTAACAACAGCAATGTGTTCCAAATGCTGTTTGCAGAAGAGCTCGGGCTTATCATTGAGGTGAGTAAGGAAAATTTGGAGATAGTAATGGGAAAGCTCAGTAGTGCAGGCATTAGTACTGTCCAAGTCATTGGACATGTCACCGTTTCTCCAATCATTGACTTGAAAATTGACGGTTTGACTTATTTGAATGACAAAACTTGTGTGCTTCATGACATGTGGGAAGAAACCAGCTTTGAACTGGATAAGAAGTCCCAAAGGTTAGCCTCTTGTGTGGAGCTTGAAAAAGCAGGGTTGAAGGGTAGGCGGGCACCGTCCTGGAATTTGTCCTTTAAACCGGTTTTCACAAACAGGGATTATATCAATGCCACATCAAAACCAAAGGTTGCTGTGGTCCGGGAGGAAGGCAGTAATGGGGACAGAGAGATGTCTGCGGCTTTCCATGCCGCCGGATTTGAGCCGTGGGATGTCGCAATGTCAGACCTTCTGAATGGTCAGATGTCACTACGGGAGTTTCGTGGGGTAGTGTTTGTTGGTGGTTTTAGCTATGCTGACGTTCTAGATTCTGCAAAAGGTTGGGCAGCTTCGATACGGTTTAACCAGCCTTTGTTAGACCAGTTCCAGGAATTCTTTAACCGTCCTGACACGTTTAGTCTCGGGGTTTGCAATGGTTGTCAACTCATGGCTTTGTTAGGTATGTGTTTGGATTCATTCCACTTTTGCATTCTCAGAAGCATTTTTTATTTTCTAGTTCTCTGAAGTGTGTTTTGAGTTATGAAAGCACTTCCTGCAAAGCTTATGTGACTGAATTTGCTGAAATTTTCTGATGCCGGGCAGAAATGGCTGTATCTTCACAATCAACTGAAAAAAATAAAATATATATCTAAATAGTTTTTCAATTTTTTTGAAAAAGAATGCGAAGAATATTAATTTCAGGCAAAAGCAATCATTGGCGCACTACTTATTTTCATTATCAGCTTGCATTAATAGTATAGTGGTAATTGTTTGCGTTTGGTGAAAAAGCTGGTGCATAAGATTGATAAGCAAAAACAAGAGCCTAAGGAGTGGCTCTTACAGTCAGTTTGGCATAGCTTATCTGAGTTGCTGCTCTCTGAAAGTAACTTTTTCTTTATGAACTACTGCAGAAGTATCTTTCATTCTTAAAAGTTAAAACCACCCTATTTGGGTGTTTCACTTTCCAAACAACTGTGACTTTTTCATCAAACAATCACTTTATTTTTGCGATCCAATCTCAAACCCCATATTTCATTATTAGGTTGGGTACCTGGGCCTGAAGTCGGAGGTGTTCTCGGTAAAGGAGGTGACCCGTCACAGCCAAGGTTCATACACAATGAATCAGGGCGGTTTGAGTGCCGATTCACAAGTGTCACTATACAAGAATCACCTGCCATAATGTTCAAAGGGATGGAGGGTAGCACACTGGGTGTGTGGGCCGCACATGGTGAAGGAAGGGCTTATTTTCCTGACAATAGTGTTTTCGAGCAGATTCTCGGGTCAAACTTGGCCCCGGTGAGGTATTGTGACGATGATGGCGTTCCGACTGAAATTTATCCCTTCAATATGAATGGTTCGCCACTTGGTGTGGCTGCTATTTGTTCGCCAGACGGGAGGCACCTTGCTATGATGCCCCACCCAGAACGATGCTTCTTGATGTGGCAGTTCCCTTGGTATCCAAACCATTGGGACATGGACAAGAAGGGACCAAGTCCTTGGTTGCGTATGTTCCAAAATGCAAGAGAATGGTGCTCATGAGTTGAGCCTGACACACCCAGGTATGTTTTACCTTAACTTTCCTTTGAGAAATCATGAGAAACGTTCAGTTAAAATAAATATCACCAATTAGATACTCGGTTCCCAAATATCTGTTGTTCTAGCAATTAATATTCGTAGCTAAATAGTTGTCCTTTTAGAAAGTAAATACATATTTTGTATCAATCACTCAAATTCAACCTTATTGACTTTCCCATATTAAATTCTATTTTTTCTTGAGAAGATAAGAGACACATTTGATGTTGAGCTTTTATAGGGATTTGCAATGTCATTGTGTATGCACTTTTCTAAAACGTGAAGACAGGAGGGTGTATGAAAATTATCAGATAAATTTCTTCAATGTGTGTGTTTGAATTTCTTATGAACTTTTTTACTTCTCCCTCCATAAATATATGACTTGTAATGGGGTTTTGTATGGGGAGTAAGTAGTAATGATTTTTTTTGGATCATTCTTCTAAACCTATTATAGTGCTCATGATAATGCCAACATTCATGATTAAACACCGATGGAGATATCACCGATGACATTAGACCACAAGGTACTTGGCAGTAATAATTGTTAAGTAGTTGAAATAATTAATTTCATATCAAATTCTCACATTTGAAAAGTTAGTTAATGAAATACTCATCCTTGGAAATTTTGAAATGAAAACTTAAATAAGGGGTAAACATGGTAACGGAAAACTAAATGCATAACTGATATAGACTATCTTTGTGGGGCGCACAAAATTAGAACACAAAGATGGGCATCTTTGTGAGACAGTATTCAAATTTGTATGAATGAATTATTTTTTGAACCTCTCACCATCACTACTAAATTGCTGCTGCCTGGTTCAAATGTGCAGATCTTTTGTGGACTAAGTAGGGTCGTAGTTTTATCTATTTCGAAAAGCTAATCAAAACCTGAATAAAAGAGCCGGAGAAAGAACACAGTTCAAAAGGACAAGGTGATGAAGACGCTGTAGCCTTTAGTTCTCAATGTGTTTGTCACACAAATTTTGAAGATAATTTTATTTCATTTTCTTCACTCTGATCTGTAATTTTAAAACTTTGTGCTGTTTTTAAATGAGGCGGCATGAAAACCTGACATTTTTTACGATTTCTATTAGGCATTTTAGTTTGCTTTGTTTTGTTGCATTATGTACACTTATATGGCTTCAAAGTTACCCTCCCTTTTCTTGTCCAATAAATTGAGAAGAGTTTCTTCTTTCTTGGTTATATTCTTGAAGTCCTAGTCAAAACATGTATTTTAGTCCTTCACTACAACATGTATTATGTCACTGACTCACAATCATGTTGAAAACATCTATCAAGATTAACAAAGGATTGGATTAAATCCTTTTCACTTTGGGAATACAACTCCAAGTTTGGACATGAGGGGCTTTATTTGTTGTTTTCAGAAGATATAATGGGTTACATTTAGAAGTTCTTTATAAAATGAAAAATAAAGTTTTAAAACCTTGAATAATTTAAAAATAAAGTTCTAATAATTTGTTTTCCACTAGAAAAATCTTGAAAGTAGCTTTACATCGGCAGGGGTCGGAATTTGGGGATAGCTAAGGGAATTCATGGATTATACTACGTATAAGACTACCTGCAAGGCCGCAATCCGGAGTGAATAAGTCATATTTGAGCTTTTCGCCCTAAAAGCTACTCCAACCCAATGTATAATAGGGTGTCAAAGTGGGTTTAGGGCACCTTTAGAGTGGGAATGAGATGAGTTGATTCACTGAAGAGAGAGAGTAAGGAAGGTTGCCTGGAGGAGAAAAACGGTCATCGTGCGTGAGAAAATATGTGGGCTCAAGGAAAATAAAAAATCCTATTTTATTTAAAGTGGAATATCAAATTTTATCGAAAATATATCATAATTCATATTTTTTTATGATCTTTCATATGACACCAATATCTCTGATATCTTTCATGACATTCATCACCATTTATGTTGAAGTTGTTAATCTCACCGATGTTGAAGTTGTTAATCTCACCGATGCTTTTTCTGAATTTGAATTTGTCCCTTACGTTCATTATTTTTGTTCTTTCATGAAAGAAAAGTTTTCAAAATATTATTCACATATTCCGCATATATATGGTATTGCATTTATTCTTGATCCTCGTTTCGAACTTTATGTTTTTCAAAAATTGTTTAGAGAAGTATTATGCTTGTTTTTTTGGTCCATTACCTATGTTACTATGTACGAAGATAAGCCCATAAATCCAAAAGAGCAATACAATGACGAGTTTAGTAACTTGTTTCATCAATTATATAATGAGTTTCATGTACAATATGGTAACACACCCTCCCTTGACTAGAACATTTTCTTCATCTAAAGAAACATTTTCGAAATCTACATTTGACAATCTTATGAAAAAAAGTAAATCAACGTAACTCCCGCTGTTGCAAAAAGCTCGATTTATGAGCTTTCTTTGTATTTAACGTTTCTTGTTAACTATAAAGAAGGGGATGACTTTGACATTCTGCAGTGGTGGAAGGTCAAAGAAAGAACGTTCCGGACTTTATCAAAATATCTTGAAACGCTTGTTTGCTTCCACGGTTGGTTGAAGGCTCAACGTAGAACTCAAGAAGTTAGCATCACCCACACCCGCAACTTCAAGGAGGAAACAATAACCAACGGTGCGAGACCCGGTTGGGTAGCCCGGCCCGACCCGGTCTCGGTACCAACCCATGTCGGTACCGGGCCTTCATCCCAAAATCCCAGTCCCGCCCTGCCCCGTTCTGGGTCCCGACCTGGCCCGATCCCAGTCCATGCCTAATCTAAGGTAACGAATAGGCTTGGACTCGGTGCGGGCCACCCGGCCTGGGAACCGGCCCGCTACTGTGCGGGCCCGACCCGGCCCGGGAAATCGAGTCCAGTTCCGGTTCGGGCCTAGGCCCGAGGGGTCTACCGGTTCCGGGCACGGGAAAGGGAAAAGGGGAACCGGCCCGGCCAGGCCGGGCCCGGTTCGGGCTTTTTTTTTGATTTTTTTTTGATTTTTTTTGCTTTGGGCTGAGGTTAGTTGGGCTGGGTTGGGTATTTCCGAGGGGTTTGGGGGGATGGGGGTGAGGGGTGAAATAAATAAGAATAATAAAAAAAATGAACCGGAACCGGCCCTGTCTGGAACCGGTCAAGACCCGGGCCGGTCTCGGGCCTATGGATACGCAACCGGCGGTCCGGCCCGAGTCCAAGCCTAGTAACGAAGTAACGTTATGACAAAATAAACTCCTTTGAAGCAACTCATTATAGTTCTGGACAACGTTTTGACCATTTTCTTTAGTTTATACTGCGTATTATAAAAAGTTCACTTCTTGTTCTTTACTCACTCCCTGTTGTCCTTTTGGCCTATCCAGTTTCGGATTCTTATCAGTTTTCTTTTCATAATGAAGAATCACCACCTCTTTAAAAAAACTGTCTCGATTAAAGCAAGTTATGTTTTGCATAAAATTCTCTCTGTTAATTTGATTTTTTAAACTATGGTTAATGTGAAACACAGTGAGCTCTTCTACTGACTTTGAGAGGAGGATCTCTTAGTTTCATTAGATGCCCTGCCCCTACCCCTGCCCCTGGTGCGATAATCCATTTTATGAAAAAGAATAGAGAAAAGGTCAAATAAGGCATTATGAAATCGTCACATAAGGTCATGTACTCAATAAAGTGTCATATAAATATGTCTACTTGTAAAAAACAATCAAATGAGTCGTAATCACCCATTGACAACCTCTTAATCCCGATTTTAGCGTACTTCTGACCATCTTTTTAGAATAGATTATACGATAGACGCCAGATATTTAACTAAGGTTGATTGAAATGTAAGTAAAAAAATCGACACATAAGCTAAAATCGGGATTAAGAGGTTGTCAACGGGTGATTAGGACTCATTTGATTGCTTTTTACAAGTAGACGTATTTATATAACACTTTATTGAGTAGATGGCCTTATGTGTAGGGATGGACCGGTTCGGGCTCGGTTCAGACTTGGGCCCGGCCGGGCCTCGGTTCATGAAGGGGAGGCCCAGAACCGACCCGGGTAACCCCCGGGTCCGGGCCGGGCCTCGGTTCTATTTTTTTTGGCTTTTCCTAGTTAACCCCCAACCCTCCCCCTCACCCCCAAACCAACCCTAACCACCTCAAATGGCCCAAAATACCTAGCCCAACCCAAAAACTTAAAAAAAATTAAAAAAAAAAAATCATTTGGCCCGGCCCGGGCCTGAACCGGCTGGGCCGGTTCACCTTTTGAAGGGCCCGAGCCCGAACCGACATCCCACCGGGCCAGGTGGCCCGAACCGGCCAACCAACCGGTTCACCAGGCCGGTCCGGGCCCGCACAGTAGCGGGCTGGTCCGGTTCCGGGCCGGTTGGCCCAGCCCGAGTCCAACACTACTTATGTGACGATTTGATAATAGTAGAAGACCTTATTTGACCCTTTTCTCAAAAGAATATGATATCCCCTCTATTGGCACTTGGACGAAGGATGACAGCAAACTAGTAAATGAAATAAAGTGATGCAATATGTCATATACTCTCTTTCAATACCCAAAGGGTAACCGATCTCATGATATTTCATTACATTTTTCTACCATAAGCAATGGCGGAAATGACAGATACTGTTTTCTAATCGGACGGGGCCCTCTTCAAAGCACTTCAACTGAGCCTTAATCTTCACCATTCTACTGTTTCATGACAATGTTTTATCACCATTTTCGTCTCTGATATCTTTCACCAAGTTTCATCACCAATTTTTTATGATTTTCATATGACACCCATATCGCATATACTACGTTTAAAGTAAATAATTCATAAGAAGTTTAATCTATTGGAGGTTTTCAGGCCCAACTTTTTAAAAATAAAATCAAATGCTAAAACATTAAGATTTAATGATTAATTTTTTAACATCTTTGATTTTTAAAAAAAAAAAAGGTCTGAAGTAACATTAAAAAAAAATTAAACTCCAAATTTATATAATTCTACATCACCATGTTTGATTTTTTAAATCATAATTATTCACAAAAAATATATTTCAAAAAATCCGGTGTATAATAATAAAAGTACAATTTTAATTAAAAAACTTTGTAGGGTGAAAATATTGACGGTGCGGTTGCAGTAAAAAATTTAATTTATTGACGGAATTGGCTTGTGGTTAGCCTAAGGGGAAAGATAAAAATATATCCTTAAACTATATATGCAAGTGTATATATACCTTTGAAGTTCTAAAAGATGTAAAGATACCACTAGTATTCCTACAAAGGGACAAATTAACCCTTATTGAACTTGAAAATTGAATGATTAAAATTTAAAGAAACATCTATTGTGTCCAATGCTCTCACTTATTATTTCTATATCACAATTTAATATTGTTAGCATAAAAAAATTGTTTCAAAACTTTACTAGAAGCTACAGATTTATAACACAACATAAAATGAGAAAGAGAAGGAGAAGAGGTGTTTCAAAGACTTGTTGCCAATGGTATTTGTCCCATTCCCCAAGCAAACAAACTGCTTGTTACAAACAACATCTTATTATTACAGCGAAAAAGATAAATGCTTACTAATCGGGCTAACGTTGAACTTGGTAAAATGCAAGTGTTAAGCAACTGAAAAATAAGATGATTGAGGAATACAAAGATATTCTCTAGCTCACGGATCGAATTTTGGTTATTAGTTCCATAAGCAGGTATCCTGAAAAAATGAGTATGACGATAATGAATGGCGGTGAACTAAAGAGTGACCTGCAATCGAGCAACAATGTTAATGAACGAAAACGTCGAGAAATACTATACTAACTAGGGGTGGTTCGGTACGGTATACCGAATATTTTCTCTCATACCTTTACCGTACCAAAACTTTCGGTATGCAAAATTTATATACCGTTACCATACCGAAGTTTCGGTATACCGCATTTCGGTATACCGAAGTTTCGGTTCGGTGACGGTACGGTATCGGTAAATTACCATGCATGTCTCCCAATACAACAAATTATCATAGACTAACAAAATATGCTAAATCGGTGTTACTAGTGACATATTTATTTCATTATTAAAATTTTACAAATATAATTAATAATCTATTGATGTCATACTCAATATTGAACAATAATTATTATTAGTATATTTAAGCAGTTCAACATGCCACGTATTAAAAAACAACACATTCTCCTAAAATAACTTGAACGATATAGATATAATAAATCAATAGTGATCTCTAATAATAATAAATAAAATTATTCAAACAACATGGATATAAAATTATTTATTTCTAATACTACCCCT